AATGATAAGCAGATTAGCAGATTTAAATCCACTAAAACAGCAGCTTCACCGTCACACATTGCAAAAAAAAACTGATTGATATTTGTGAGAATACAGATTTTTAAAGTGTAGATTATTTATCGTTTTTTTTTCAGTTAAAGTGAAAATGTATCTATTTTTGCTGTGATTTTACTTTATTTTATATCTGTAATTTAACAAAATTGAACATTTAAAAAAGATCAAATAAAGATACAAAAAGAAAATCACTAGATTTTCAATGCTTATTATGAATCACTTTTTTTTCATTATTCTGATTAAAATGCAGAAATTTTCAGTCAAACATTGTAAATCAACAACAGAACTTTTTTTTTTTTTTAATTCAGATTTTTGATGTGGATGTTATCTACTGTTTGTTTTTCTAACCTTTAATATATAAATTCATATTTTTCTGCGTGAATTTTAGTCGTATTTTACCAAATTAAACAAAACTATTACATAAAATACGTATATTTTTATTTTTGCTGTGTTTTTATTCTCAAAAAAGTCATTATTTTACAGATATTTGCTTTTATTTGAAAGAAAAATTCATCCAGTATTTTCATACTTAAAAAAAAAAAAAAAAAAAAATACACAGAGTTTCTGTATTTAAATCAGCTAAAACTATCATTATCATGTTTTATAGATACTTGTTGTTATTTTCATAGCTTCTACAGGTTTTAAATTCCACCGTCTGACACTGTTTCCTCTGATTTTCACCAGTTTTCCTTCATGGAACCGTTTCTACAGTCTAGAATCACACGTCATCGTTTTTATGTTTTTATTATACGTGACTCAAACTTAAAATCCACGAGCAGATTTCGGCCCAAAGTTTGATCTGCCTTCATAGAAAGCTGCCGTTTCTCATCGTTTGAAGGTAAATTGGAAGCGAAGACGGATGACAGACTGGTTTCCAGTCAGATGTAAAAAAGGTTCATGTTAATGCAGAGAGGATGACTGTCGGAGAAGATGACCTGCAGGGGCGCAGAATGGAAATGGATCCGCACAAAGCGCCCTCAGATTGGATCTATTAAATCAAACAGGAGCTCAGAGTTTCGCTGTATTGAAATGCTGAGGTTTGGTGGAAGAAAAGTGTGGGGGGCTACAAAGAGCTCCACCAATCCCCCGCTATTGGATCATATTTTAAAATGATAAACAGGCCCGGTATATTTATTGGATATTAAAGTCTGCTCTTGGGTATGTAAATATGTGATTTTCTGCCAGCGGAAGCCTCACTGTGTGCTGGATTAGGGGATATTCTGTCGAACCGCCTCCCTTTGAACTATTGACTGTAGTGGAAGATCCAGTGAGCTGTCAGAGGAGAAGCAAAGGGAAAGAGAGGAGGCAAGTAAGGGGAGGTGAAAACCAGAGGAAAGAGCGCAGTCGGAGGCAAGATGAAGAAAAAGTAGAGAGGTTCCATCCTTTGTGATTTCATTTATGCCCAGTGTTTCAGAGAAACGCAGGAAAGAAGAATCTAATTAAATCAAAATGACGGGAGAGGGAGTGACGGAGACGGGACGACGGTGAATAGAAGCAGAGGAAGGAGGATAAAAATGTGGCGGCGAGGAGATAAAGAGTGAATCTGAGAAAAGGATGGAGCAGAAGTTTGTAATTATAAAGAGCGAGAGAACAAATGAATCAGCAGCGCTGCAGCTGAATAATGCAACGGAGGAGGAGGGAGGCTGCAAACACACACAGCGAGGACGAGGAGGGTGTGTTTCAAGCAGCTATCAGCCACAGAACGAGACGCTCCGACGTCTGTGAGCTTATGGAAATGGATCGCGTTCAAAAGAGGAAAAAAAATAAATGCAAATTTCACTTGCATGTGAATCCTGTCGGCGGGCTGTGAAGGCAGCAGCAGCGCCTCGGATAGCTTCTATACGATACCCACCAAGTCCTACCTTCCTTCCCTCCTTCCTCCTCTTTGTCTTGTGTATTCCCACCCTTCGCTTTGTAGACTGAAACTCATGACAAGGCGACGAGCCGACGTCTTGAGCAAAACAAGACCCGAGAGGTTCAGACGTAAAGTTAACTTTGGAAGGCCGGAGCCTCCAGAAGAAGAAGCAGAAGCTTGATTTCTTATGCTCGTCACCTCTCGCCTGTTCTCCGCCGACAAACACATCGCAGCTTTCTGTTACTGCTGTTGAATGCCATAAAAAAATGTCATTTTAATTTGCGGCAGTAAAGGGCTTTTGAATGTCACGTCTACTTTCTGAATACAGATGCTTTTTTCCTCAACATGTGGAACGGCGCCGCGACGAAAAGTCAATTTCCTTATAAATGTTGAGGGGTCGACGGAAAGGTGAAAGCAAAAGAGGCGACGCGTGTTCCAGGAGTTCTATTACGGCGCTAAAAGCTTTTATTGTGTTGGTGCTTCGGCTGGAGGTGTTTGGAGAAACCAGACGACAGCGTGGTCAGAACAGAACCGTAAAGAGGGTTCACTCCAGTACAGTTACTGTGTTTAATGGTTCCCAGTACAGACAGGACTGGTGTCTGAGTTAAAGCTGCATCTCCAGACATCAGAACAAGAATATTAAAGTATTATTGTTTTCAGTTAGAGAAGTGAAAATTTAATATAATCTAGACTTTTAAAGTGAAATATTTGTTTTGTTTGTTTTAACTTTGAGGCTCAGAGCTCATGGAAATAAAAAATAAATATTTCACTTCATCTGTAATGAATATAGAACATATCAGAGTTTAGCTTTTTGAATTAAATTTGAAATATAACTTTTTCAAAATGTTTATTAATTTATTTTAATTTTTTTTAGATGCTCTAGTGCAGCAGTGGCTCTACATCTAACATGTAATGATTCCCGTCCAGTAAATCTAACATCCAGTCTCCTCCTTCATTGACATTCTGTAGATTTAAACTATATAATGATTGTTGATCAGCTCATCACAGTGGAGGCATCCTGGTCCATGGATCTGGTCCCAGTCAATCTGTTTTAATTCAGTCGATAATTGTTAACTTTAAATGAAGACCAGCAGGAACGATGGAAGATGTTGTTAGAATGAACCTCTTCAGCCTGTTTAAGGTAATAACAGGTAACAATTTTAATGTCAACACAACAATGAAAAACACACACATGTAGAAACATAAATGGAAATAATGATTAATCATAAAGTAAAATCCATCGGTTGCCGCTCTAGTTGGGATTAAGGTTCTGAGTGGCTGGATTGGACCCGGTATGTCTGGACGGGGATCAGAAACCCCCACATCAGGTTTCAGAGCCTTGAAAACAGCTTGCATGAAGGTGGTGGATGATACATGGTGGGTTTTAGACATGAAAGCAAGACAAACCACCACACCGGTCTCCACTAGTGGAGGTGTCTGGGTCGACACCAGAGATCTCCAGCTCCGGTCCTGGTGAGCTGCTGTCCTGCTGGTTTTAGACGTTTCCGTACTGCAGCACTCACATGAATGGATCATTAACAGAACTTGACAACAAGCTGGTGGAGATCCATGAATGTGAGTCAGGTGTGTAGCAGTACAGAAACGTCTGAAACCAGCAGGACAGCAGCTCACCAGGACCAGAACTGGAGATCTCTGGTGTAGATGGAGGTGACGAGAGGCCCAGGCAGCTGTGGACTAGCACAACTCAGGAGACCTGCACAGAAGCCAATGGAAGGTGGAGGGATATGATTGGCTGTTACGATCCAGGAAGGGAGCTCGCTTGGAGTTTATTCATGCAACCGAACTTTGTGTTTTTGTTCGGTGCATTGACGGTGGTTTGATGGACGCCATCAAACATTCTGTCCAACGGTTTTCTTCTCGTTATTGACTAAGTGTCTTTATCTGGTAAACATCACTCCTGTTTGTCTTCCAGCTCTCTTCTGAGTTTGATTTTTAGGAACTTCGTCACAAATTTGTGTCGTTGACTGACTGCGAACTGTCTTGACGGTGATGCTCCGTTAAGTATTTGGGAAAAATAGAAAGTCCACGATAGCAAAGTTCAATGAGTTCTCATTGTTCCTCCCAAACGTCATGCAGCAAGAGAACAGATTCACTCTTTCATCACAAGCAACAGTAGACGCAAACATCGATGGCCAGCACACAGTCACATCAAATGTCCAACATCACCTACTTTGAGACTGTTGAAGAAGGTGGTAAAAAGTTCTGCTGATTGTTTAAATATCCAGAAAGTCATGTTTGCTGGAAAGCGGCGTCTTATGGCCGCTAACGTGTGATACATGTCTGGATGCAGGATGATACTGAGTAAGGAAAAGTACACGTCTTCATCCTTTTGAATGTCAGGACGTCGTCTGTCTGCTACGATGCTGAACAAGACTTCCTGCTTTAGACAAACTCATCCAGAATCAGAATCAGGAAGCAACTGGATCAACCAGACAACAAGCACTTTGCCAGTTCTGGAGAAAAAACAACTTAAAGGTCATCTAACAGGCATATAAACGGCATGTTGGCAGAGAGAAGAACAGCCCATGTAGGACCAGTTCTCTGTTGAAACCCAGTCATCCAGCCCCATCTGATTAGTTTGCATATGAGATCAGGCACAATCGAGATAACGAGGCTGCGTTTTAATAACGAGTGCAGAGACCCATACATCAGATGTCAGGGTCCCAATAACACACCCAGATAGAGATCACATCAGTGCCAGGTGGGAATGGAGCGTCACAGGCAAAGGTTTCTAGAAGCTTCAGTAGAAACACAAGCAGACTTTTAAGTTTTTAAAGACATTTTAAGAGACTAAACTTAAAAAGCCTCTTGGATGAGAGTTAAAACATCTTCAAAACCTAAAAGAGAAGAAGTCTGGTTGCTTTTTAGCTGAAGTTCTGAGGATTACTGAGATCTGGATGAGTGAGGACCAGAACCTGTTATGATCCTGTATAGAGAACGTCAGGTTGACAGACGAGGGTGTAAACTGTTTGAGATCACTTTGGTTTACTTTGAAGGTAAACTGAAGGTACATCGAGTAATTCCTTCTCTTCCTTTCCTCCCTTTGTCTCTGCGTCTCTTCTCCCTTCAGCCCAGAACTGTTCGGGTCTGAGGACCTGCGCCGACTGCCTGGAGAGGGTGGAGTGTGGCTGGTGTGGAGATCCCAGCAACACCGGCAGAGGCGTCTGCATGGAGGGTTCCTACCGAGGCCCTCTGAAGCCCCTGAGTCCGAGGGCCGGGCCCCGAGAGCGGGAGAGGCTACGAGACCGGGACATGGTGGTGGATCAGAACCTGTGCTCGTCTGACCGAGGATACAACTGGGCCTTCATCCAGTGTCCCGGTGAGTGGACCACGACGCCAAACCCTCAGTCGGGTTAATCTGGAATCCTCTCCTCCGTCTGCTGCTCGATAAATCGTCTCAGCATCAACTTTGCAAAATGAGCAAATTAACTGAAACACATCACGCTGCAACTTTTCCTTCTTCTTGAGACACAAAACTTATTCTCATTTTTCCTGACTCATGTAGACGAGAACAGTGACGCTAGTTTAAGGTTGTTGGACCTGCTGTTTGTTTCCTTTAATGTATTTAAAAGGCAGCGTTTGCTGAGATGCAGGCTGCACATGTGCACAGCAACAGGAGCAGGAGAGAAATATGGAAAAGGAAGATTTGGCTGCATAAAAATGAACCTAACATCAGCTGCAGGGTCGCACGATGAACAGAATATTAGAAGAATCATAGTTTGATGCAGCTGTGCAGGAATATTACACAACTCACGGAGCTGCCATGAAAATGTTTAGTCTCTAAAATCAGCTGAACATGAACCTCGTGCAGCTTCAGTGGGTTCTATGGAAAAGATAACGCCGACCAGAAACAGTTCTGTTGGGTTGTTGCCTCCACATGAGGCAACGCATTGGTTGGATTATTTAATTTAAGCAAAGAGTCCAAAGATCTGAGTTCCTCCCACAGCCGAACACTGTTTACGATGCCTCTGCCACTGTTACGCTGCATGGAAAAGGTCCCACATGGTTCACCAGTAAAACAACAAAAACGTCTTGACAATAAAAGTCATTGTTCAGCTTTTTAAAATAATTTATTTTTTATTTTAGATGCAGATGCACTGACCTACAAAATCACCCCAATTATTCTGAAATGATTCATTATTCCTCAGTAGAATTAGTTAGTAAACCGGAGGAAAAACTAAATCAACAGTGACTGAACATTTCCAACATTTCTGGCTCCAGTCTGCGGCCAGAATCAGAATGTTCATTCCAGCTTCTTCATTTCTGAAGTGAGCGTTAACGCTGACATACGTGATGGTCTTGATAGGAGTGATAACAGCAGCACTCGACCTCATTTATGTGAACGATGAAATATTAGAAAGTCTCTCAGTATAATGTAATATAAATGTGCACCTGAGAGGCTCTGCCCTCTGGTTACAGTGTCATCCAGATGTAGTCCAGCATCGAAATGAGCAGACAGCCAATCAGCTCTCAGAGAGAGGCTCAAAAAAGCACAAATAGAAAACAACTAAGCAGCGATTTTGTCGGTGCGTTCACACTATTAGACAATAGTTGATCAAAAATAGCATAAAAAATGTGCAAATATTAAAACAAAGTAAAAGAAAAAGCTCAGGTACAAACTATTAAAACAGTGATGTAGCTTATTTTTATGAAGACAGTTTATTTGGTGTTTTAACGTCACTGTTGCAGATATTTCACATTGCTGAACATTTACAGGAACTCATAGATGTGAGAAGTGTGTGTACGAGGTGCAGCTGCATGTAAACGTGCAGATTCAGCAGGAAGGAGCTGCAGCTGGATTGGAGGTAGTTTCGGTTCTGGTCGTCGCTCGTGTCCGGACTGTTTTGTGCCGTTTTGATTCATGATGGAAGGTTTATCGTTTCTTGCTAGTTGTACCCAATCAACTGAAAACATCCCTCTGTGTGTGTGTGTGTGTGTGTGTGTGTGTGTGTGTGTGTGTGCGCGTGGTTTCCCTGCAGCGTGCCAGTGCAACGGCCACAGCAGGTGTGTGAACGGCAGCGTTTGCGAGCACTGCGGGAACCTGACGGCGGGGACGCACTGCCAGAGCTGCATGGCCGGTTACTATGGCGACCCCACCAACGGAGGGAAGTGCAACGGTGAGTGCAAAGGTCGCCGTGGTGACGCCCCGCGGTTATTCCTGGTGAAACAACACCTGTGCACCGCGACAACACGGAACCTGTGTCATCTTTTTCCTGACAGATTGCAGGAGAAGCGCGTCTCAGAGCCGAGATGTTGACAGAAATGTGAAGGTGTTGCAGCTTTTACATGATTTAAAACGGGACAGCCGTGTAATGGCAACAAACAGCCTGATGGGGGCAGTGTTTGGAAGCTGTGTCGGTTTCCTTTGGAGCTGCTGGTGACCAGTAGAGCAGTAAAGCTTTGAAAACTCAAAGCACACATGCAGCATGAGCAGAGATTGAGAGATTTTACAGTTTGGGTTTTTTTCTCTCATTTTTTTGTCGTTTTTACTGGCGAGGTTTGACTTCTTTTTTTGAAGGTGGTGCTGATGCATGCAAACACCCACGAATGCAAACATGCTGTTTGTAAGCTTCTAAAGCAGTCTGTCGATGCCTCGTTTAGCTTTGTACTGAAGCGCTCACAGCAGATTCCAAGCGGTTAATGACGGTGGAGCTGGAGGGAGCCCGTGTGATGTGGAGGGTTACGGGGGCTGGTTCTGGATGAGTTCGGGCCTTGATGGGAGAAAAAAGCGGCGACAGGAGAGTGTAATGGATGAGTGAGTGAGCGCTGGAGTGCTGGAGAGGGAGGGCGGAGTGAGAGGGAGGCGCAGTAACATCAGTCTCGCGGTGACAGATGTGCGTTTTGGCTTGGCGGCGGCGTGACATTAAATCGCTCTTAATCATTTTCTTATTTCCTGAGTTGACTGGTGTCTCTGTCCCTGGCGGCTTCTCGCAGCGAGCTGATAGATGCACGCCTCCTCGCCGCCTCCGTACAGGACGGCCTCTGATTCACTTTCTCCTCTAAGTTGGCTTTATTTGCATTTTTTCCGCTCCGTCTCGTGGTTGTTTCGGGTTTCCTCGGGCTTTTCTCTAACAACCGGCGGTCGCATTCTTCCTGCTGGTTTCTCTCCTCACGCTCTGGTCCTGACGTCTCTCTCTTTCTCTTTCTTATGGTTCCTGCCAAATCTGATCAACTCTCCTCCTTTCATCCAATCGTGTCCATTTTTCTTCTGCCTCTCTTCACCTTTTCACCTCATTTGTTCTTCCACTTCCCCCTGCAATTTCCTCTTTCTTTTATTTATTCTTTTTTTTCCTTCTTTTTTTTCCCGTCTTGTTGCCTTTCATTCCTCTATATAGATTTTTTTGTGTTTCCATCTTTTCTTTTCTGGTTTTCCCTTATCATTTTTTCTTATCCTTTCTTCTGTATTTAACTTATCCATATCACCTGTTGTTTCCTTTCCTTTCCTTTCCTTTCTTTTCCTTTCCTATCCTTTCCTTCAATCTCCTTTGTTTAGTTTCCTTTCCTTTTGTTTCCTTTCGTTTCCTTTCCTTTCCTGTCCTTTCCTTTCCTTTCCTTTCCTTTCCTTTCCTTCAATCTCCTTTGTTTCCTTTCTTATCCTTTCCTTTCCTTTCCTTTCCTTTCCTTTCCTT